CGTGTCGATCTACTATAGTGTGTGTGTGTGTGTGTGTGTGTGTGTGTGTGTGTGTGTGTGTGTGTGTGTGTGTGTGTGTGTGTGTGTGTGTATTAATTATCCAAACAGGCCTTAATAACCACAACAAAAATGTTGCATAAATTAAAAAGTTCACCAGGGCATAGGTTATAATGTGTGATATAAGATGTGCCCTAGGTTTTGGAGGTGACTGTAGAAGTAGAACCCACATTGCAGTGGGGATACCGTGTCTCACTAGCCTCACATGTTAAAGAAAGAAGAATAAACAAAAATTAAGAAATATAGATAAATGAATTTGTATAAGTAATCCTGAGATAAATAATTTCATTAACATTATTTATCCAGTAAAATTAGTAATTGAAAAGACTTCAATCTCTGAAGTAGAGGCACGTTATTTACATGTAGAAATTAAAATAATTAATCTAAATGGTTTTGATAAAAGAAAAATTTTTCTTTAACAATATATAGCCCACCCTCTCCTAACAGTAATATGCCATATTCGTCTGTTATAAGTATTATAACTTAATAATTACTCAGATTCTGTAAAATTTGCAATAAATTACAATATTTCATTACTAAGGTTGACATATTTATGCAAAAATTAATATTTAATTGATTTAATAAAAATAAGGTTATTTAAACAACTTGGCACCATTTTCATGTGTGTGTGTGTGTGTGTGTGTGTGTGTGTGTGTGTGTGAATGCCATTCTCAGATGCAAACATAAAACCTTTTATATAGGGTAGATAAAGTATGAAAGTTAACACCTACACTGAAAAGGTATTTCTGATAGATTCTTACATCCACTCACATAATAGCTTTTCTCAACTTGTACTGTCCTCTATATTCGCAAATTTTCACTCACCACTAGCCTTCATATTCCCACCTACCCCCACATGTTTCACGTAAGGCAATTGCATGATAGCTTGGAAATGAGCATGTGACAACTCTTAGCACAGCTGACTCCCTCTATGCAGCTTAGCTCAATTTCACTTTGAGATTGGGTAACATAAAAAAGAAAAGACACCAGAAGTTGAGAGTAGGTGAAATTCTATCAGAAATACATCTTCAGTGAAGGACAATGTTAAGTTCCAATATGATATCTTACCTTCCCTCACATAATAGCTAGAATCATACATTGATTTGGTGGTGGGAATGGTGTAACATTACCTAGATGAGTCCCCTTCAGAAAGCACCTAAAGGAAGCCCATGGGGTGTGTGAATAAAGAGTATGTAAAATACACCCATGGGAGACTGCATCACATTTGAGCCAGGCACACATATGCCCGTGAAAATGATGTGTTGCAATAAGGGTGGAATCACAGGAAGAACTTCAAAAATTAAAGGATGGGAGCCCTGGTATAGAGTAGCTCAGACATGGGAACTGAAAAGAAGATCTTTCATTCCAAGGACCCGCATTATCATGTGTGCTTGTCCAACACAACCAACACCGGTAACCCTGGGAACCAACATCCAAAGAATGGTAGGAAGGCAGATAGCAATGCGGTAGTTCAACTCCTGTCCAGAACCAGGCAGCACTGGGAATGATTGTCCAGTCAGCAGTAGGATGAGGGTACCTGGACCACTCACATGTGAGATCTTATAAGACTGGTCCAGCTCCAATCAACACCAGTAACCCCTGGGAACTGACATCCAGGAGACAATAGAAACAAGAGTGCCCAGCCAGAGAGCTGAACTGCATTGTGGTGGAAATCATCCAGTCCATAACCAGGTGGCATGTGAAATAGAACATCAGGTCCTCAGTAGGAGTGTATATACACCATCTACACTGGAAGAACACTACTGCCCTACTATTAACTAAATAAAATTAAGCACACTCAGGAGGAAGGCCCCATGGTCCACCATCCCAACAGGTAGGAGCTAGTAAGTGATAAGGACTCATCTGTACTCCACTAGAAAAATGAGTGCGTGTGTGTGTGGGAAAGGAATGCATTGGAGAGTCCAGAAGAATGCAACACCAGAAACAGTGCAACGGGTGACCACAAAACGTTATTTTGAAAAGCAAACCATTCCAGATACAGCTGAACCAAGGAGCAGCTGGGATGATTATAGCTGGTCAGGCAACATTTGCCACTGAGCAAAATCCATATATGCAAGAAAGGATCCTGAAAAAAGAAAAAGAATAGTATAAAAAAAAACACCAACTAACTCATAGAGAAACTGTGGAGCTCAAGATGGCAACAGGAGGTAGATGATAGCCTGTAGAGCAGAAAACAGCCAGATGTTACAGATAATGTGAGATAAATGTATGGGAAGTGGTTCACCTGCCAGCAGGAACTATATACTGTAAAAGATGATGGAATTGGGCAGCCAGGGGCATGTTAAGGTGACAGATTTTATTGGAGAAGACTTGGAAGAGATGACAATCATCAAGAGAAAGGAAAGAATAAGCCAGATGAATCAGCTGGAAAATCCAACCTACAAGGTTAATAGGAGAAATATCCTGGGAAAGGGGAGGGTTCCAATTAATAAACAAATGGGAACCACAGAAGGGAGCAGTGCAAGCCACGTAACAGAGAAGACCCTGGACAAGACATAAAAGGCAATCTGGATCAAAACAAGAATCAAAGTGAGAAATGGGAGTGAAAGCAAATTTTCCCTCATGTGTGGTCAAAGTTTTGGGCATGAAAGACTGATATTGGTAGAGAATGACATAGGATTTGTAATAGAATGTGTGAGAGACATCGAGAATGAACAAATCTGAATGTTGACATCCACACACACCAAGAGAAGAAGGAAAGTCTTTAAGGAGAGATGATATAAGGAACAGGAAAACGTGGGCTTGAAGGGAAGAAATGTGAGAGCATTGGGGATGACATTGAGTTTCCAGTCAGGGAGGGCAATAGGATGTGGAGGACAGCAAAGGTGGAATGAAACAAAAGTGTGAAGACTGGACAAACAAAAACACAGCAAAATTTTATGAAATAAAAGCAGCTGACAATGCCACATGATAACCAGGTACAGTAAAAAGTCAGGTGTGGGAGTGTAGGACAGGACAGAGGAAAACCATTATGAGAAAACCAACAGCATTAGACGTACCACCTATATTGGTAAAATGACATGGAGGAAGGATGCAAGGAATGAGAAATTAGGGGAAGCAACTGGCTGGGATAGTCCAGTCCAGCCCATCTGGCCAGGGACTGGACAAAAGCCATGTGTGAAGACGGGGTGTTGGAAGAAAAGTGAAGGATGCAGCATGCTCAAATGAGGTTGTCTGAGGAGGGTGAGTGAGAGAGGTAGAAGAAGAGGATGTATCAGTAAAAGCAGGTACAAAAGTGGAAACCACAGCTGTGTCAACCAAAGAGGTGCTTCCAAGAGCACTTGACATGAAGTGGCTTGTATGATTGCGAGGACAAGAGGAAGAAGATGGATTGGGAGGATAAGCATAAAGATAATTGCCCCCAATCCTGACTGAGGGCATTGATTGCCACATTCAAAGGATGAGGAATAGGAGACCATAACCTGAAGCTTGGAATTCAGGTGGGTGGCAAAGGATTCCAGTTCTGGACTACCCCACTGTAAACACAGTCAACCAAACACCTGTGGGCCGAGGTGTCCACTCCATGGGGAGAATCTTGTTGATGCACAATAAAAGATTCACAACCAGATTCAGGGCACCTAGTATATGAATTGCTGTCAATCGAATGTAATGGCTGTGGGCCTAAAACGGAAGGTTCAAATTGTGGAAACAAAGAGACCTCAAATGAGTGACCCCTTGCTGAGTGATGTACAAGACAACCATGGGAATTATTGGAATGGATCATAACCGATTGGTTCCAGAGAGGCATAAAGAAATTAATCAAGGCCTGATAAACTGTGAGCAGTTCTAACTATAAGGAACTATAATGGTGGAAATGAAATCACCTGGAAAGGAGAAGATGGGCAAAGGCCATGACCACCCAACAAAAAATGTAGGGAGCCAAAACCAGCCTGAACAGAAGAACCCAGAACTGGTAGAAACAAGCCCAAAGGACAAAACAAAGAAAATGCTGAGGAGATTGGAATGTAGAGGTAAGTATCCAAGACATCTACCTTCGTCATCCCCAGACCAGGAGTAAAAATCCATTGAAGAGATAGGTATAACTCCATGGTGAATTGAAAAAGGTCTGGGAAATAGTTCAAGGAAGAAAGATTGATGTCGTCCTGGGGACAACAAACAAATGGGGATAGAAACCTGGCTGAGAAGGATCCACCCATTCCACAGTGCCCTAGTGAAGAGGGTCTAGAACCACCTTGGACAGATACTGGCTGAAAATGGGATACCAAGGAGAGGGGAAGGAGATGGGATGAGGAGACAGAACTCCCAGAACCCAAGGGTTTGTGGTAAAAGACTTCCACATAGTGGCAAAATGCAAAAGCCTGGACCCCACTACACCTGTACCTATCACTGGGGGCGCTGAAGTGGTCGACGAAAAAAACTGATGGTTAACCTCGAAGACCCATGTAGCAGTAACTGCTAAAGGGGAAGAAGGATGGGGTGAGACAAGGAAACAGGTTCAGGAGGAGGTTGAGACAAACAGGAAGCCAATGATAAAATGGAGGTGTGCAAATAGGTAGACTCGACTCTGAACTCTAAAGAGTCAGGAAGGCCCCCAAAGACATCTTGCCTATAGGAAGGTTGGGGTAAACAGACAAAAGAGTGTCCCGACCCAAAAGATCCTAACAACAGAGGAGCCATGTCTGAAGAGAGAGAAAGGGCAGAAAAGGACAACTGTGTCAGAGTAGAAAAAAATCAGGGCATGAGTCTCCACCACAAACCTTTCAGATGAACAGTGAAGAGCCTCAGACAATAGGCTAATCAAGGAAAGAGAATAAAGGAGGGAGGATAAGGTGAAGCAGATATAGGAGAATTGAGGTTGGAGAAACGTGACCATAGTATTGGGATCTGAAAAGAAGAGAATCCAACTGCTGCAACTCCAAAAAAGGAAACTCAGACCAATGGTAAGCCAAGGCATGGGCTTCCATATTATGTGGGGGTTGAGGCATACTGACCCCAGAATGTAATTGGTCTGCAAACCTATTGGCATGAACTCCAATATCTGGTGAGGTGGGGAGACAAGATATGTGCCCAAAGGTGTCTCACTTAAAAGGGAAGGGGAGGAAATGGGAGACAGGAACAAAAGTTAACAAATCTGATTGATCAACTCCAGGAAAGGAAGAAAAGGCCTGGGCACATCTACTAGAGCTAAATGTGACTGTGTAGCATAAGATAGTGGAGGAAATAGAATGTCAAAATCATCATCTTCTTATGCAGGTACTCATAAATAAGACATGACAGGATAACCTTCAGGTAAATCAGAAACCTGATGATGGTAGTCAACTTCCAGTACACTAAGGCCATAATGTTTTGTGCCAGTAACTGTGGACCCAAAGCCATTGTAGACAAAGTAAGGTCAATTGCATTGTGAACAGCAGTAGTAGTAGTTGTAACATTAAACTCTGAATTCCTGATAACTATAAGTGGAAATAGTCAAAAATCCACACAGGGAGCTCAAGAAAAAAACATGGAAGAAATTTAAAGATGTAATATTAACGTATATAAACAACAATTTAGAAAATTGAAGTGTAGCAAACTAAAAAAAACTAAGTTCTTCAAAAACAAACAATTAACTGATTGAAATTCAGTGAGTAAGGCTCGAGCAAAAAACATATCTAAACACCACAAGTGCCAATCAATAAGTGAAGTTTAGCTAAGCTCCATACAGGTAGTCAGCTGTGCTACAAGTAGTGTCACACTACTCCTATTGGTAGAGGATTGTTGCATGCTCATTTGCATATTATCATGCAGCTGTCTCACATAAAAACACGTGAGGGTAGGTAGGAGTGGCAAGCAAATATTTGCACATAGAGAGGGCAGTACAAATCGAGAAAAGCTACTATGTGAGATATCACATCAGAAATTAGTAGTTACAGTAGACTTTGCAAGTAAACATAATAGGTGGAGGTTGGGAGTTATACTAGTTTACATAACTTGGTTGGGTCTACTTTACTGCTAATTAACTTATTAATTTTGGTCTTTACTTCTATAATGGAGGTTGGAATGCCAACCTCATGGGGTAAGGTTGCCTTCCTTACTCCCAGTAGCAGGACCTTATTTTCGTTTTTTTTTAGTTTATATTTCTTTGGAGAGCAGTCACCTTCCCACAACTGTCTGCAGGCAATGAAGGGTGGTATAGATGTGGGGTGTTGTGGGCCTAAGCACCCACATCTCGCTCTCCTTACTTATTCTTATTTATTTATTTATTCTTTTTACTTTAACATGAGAGACTAGCAAATGGAAGTTAAGACTAATGGACGGGTTATTCCCACAACATTGTAAGTCCTACTTCACCAGTCACCTCTAAAACCCAGGGCACATCTTATATCCAACATTATAGCCTGTGCCCTGGTGATCTTTATAACTTAGGCAGAGTTTTTGTTGTAGTTTTTTTTGTTAAGATCTGCCTTGATAATCAAAATACTTTTTCATCACATTTTTGGACTTGATACTTTTCTTTTCAATGCAGTTCTTTTTTTTTTATGTTAATCTTTGCTTGACTGTTCGAAATTGGTTTTGCATATGTATATATATGATTTTAATTGTGATTTTTTTGAAGTGTTGGCAAATTTTATCCACCAGTTATAAGTATCTATTAACACACACTTAAATAATTTTGTATCAAGATATATACAAAAATAAGAGCATATCTGAAAACTACCTTTACCAAACAATTGTGTGCATCAGCAAGTTCTGTTATTATTTCCTAGATGTAAGGAAGAGAAACCCCTTTCTGACTCTTAACTTAAAGATCAAAACATCAGCTGTGTATCTGAATATTCAGCCCCTAAAAGCAACCATGTATACACTGAAGCACAGAAAAACTAATTTATCTCCCTCTCTTTTCCCTCCTACAGTAGACTAAGCAAATTATATGGTATTAATAATGACAATACTAACATTTATTTTTAATATAAACATTAAATGTTGCTTTGTAAAATCTCAAATTTTTTGGTTAGTTTTTAATTCTTTTTTGTTGTACAGTTTTGTTAAGTTATTGTGGTTCGACATTAGTTTCATGTTGTTTTACTTTTCCCACACTAGTTTGTCCAAAACATTCACAAAATGACATATTACAAAATAAGCATGACAGATGTAGGCATTTATGACATTACAAAAAAAACCTACTTGAGATTAATATATCAAAGTCCTTGGCAGCACCAAATCCTCCGGTTTCTATCAAGAAAGTAGCATCTGTATCAAGTGACACAGATTTTAGTCCACTTCCATGTGCTATGATAGACTGGGATGGATCTCTCATTTCTACAACTTGAGGGCAGCCTAGAGCAGTAAGGGATGGATTTCATTAAAGATAAATCATACCCACACTAAGAACTTTGAAACATATGTAATGCTTAATACACTTTGTATTAATGACAAAGTTAAACTAATACTCAAAAATGGATTTAAAATTTTAAAAATGCTTTATTATAGTAACTAAACTTATTTTTGTAAAACAATATTAATTTTTAAGAAAAGCAGGCAAGATTCTGAAATTTAAAAAAATAAAAAATATCAGAATTACCTGGAGCTTGATGACCATTGTAAAATACATCAATTTTGTGAGGAAGATCTGATCGCGGGATGTAAGTAACAAGATGGACTCCCTGACTGATCTCACGTACACTATTTCGTACTTCCTGACCACCAACAGTGATTTTAACAGCAAGCTGACCTCGACCTGCTCTAGAAGTATCCACTGGAGAAAAAAAAAAGTACTTTATAATTACACGAACAACTGTCAATGCTATAATAATTTTTTAAAGTATCAAATATTTTTCAATCTTAACAAAATCCTTTCATAAAATCAATTTTCACCATTACATTGCAATGTAATAATAATTATGAACTTGTGGTAAAAGAAACATTTTCTGCATTTGAAAACATCAATGCTTAATTAAAACCATTACAAAGGACTATTTATTCAATTCTGCCTTTATAAAAGAATTATAAAAAGTAAATAAGAAAATCTTCTAATCATACTAAAACTAGCTCAAATGGGCATAGAAACTGACCTTTAAACTTTTGCTCTCTGTTCACCACACCATCATCAAGGTCCATCACTTTCACTCGACTGGGATCACATACTTCCACTACATAGGGCTTACTAGTAACAGGCACACCTTTGTGGAGAACTTCAACCTTATAGGTACCCACCTCTCGGGCATGATACTCTGCACGGTAGCTGTTCTGTTCAGTACGAACTACAGAAGCTTGGACGGGTATATCCAAGGGACCTGTCGACAGATTTCATGGGTTATATATTTTGTTCTTATGGATTAAAAACTCTCGCTGTACATAAATATTTTTTGCAGTTTCATGGATTCAATAACTGCAATTGCTCAAGTTTTCACAACTTTTTAATTTCTTATAAAATAATAGGTTAATTTTAAGCTGAAAGGTTAAATACATTACTATAATGGAGGGTAACAGAACAAGCATTTAGGTTATATCAGCCAGTTATACCAACTAATATTCTTGCTGGGAGATATAAACTTACATAATCTATAAAATAAGCAAAATTCAAAGTTTTATCTTTTCTTGGTTTGATATACTTCAACTTTCTAAACATATCACACAACTGGCAATTCTCTAATATTACCTATGATATCAACAATAAAATGACAAAAAATATAATTACATTTCTTATACAAGACTCAAATCTACATTCAATAAAACAGTGTCAATAACTATATGCATATCAATAAACTAGAAATTAATAACAAGTATCCCTGATTTTTATTCAATTATTTCAATACAATAGAAAACTACTAATCATTTGAGTATAGAACTATTTCTCTACAAATTTTGAAATATTTAGAATTTTTTTCAATATTCAATATACTTTACATAACACAAGGACACTTTCTACATGATATACATATTACAAGCCTACCAATAACACGTATGTCAACATCAGAGGTCATGTCTTTAGTGTCTATTTCAAACATGTTGAGAGATCCCACAAGGCCATGTTTTAAACCATCTCCTCTGGCTATTAATGTTGGGCCACTTCTGGTGATCTTCGAACCTAAGGCTGTTGCTGTTGACTTTCTGTCCAATTCAGGTGAATCCTTAATTTCTATTTTATATGGACTCCCTGTGAACACATGATGTGGTTTATTTTATAGGAACATTTACTGGCAAACTGCTATTGCTTAAGATTCAAATTAACCGAAAATTTAGTAGAAACCTATAGCATAAATGAAAAGCCAACAAAAAGGTTCTTAAAAAAAACAATAACTGACATTTACAGTTTTACAATAAAAATGAATTAAGTTTTACATTATGTTATTCTTAAACAGAACTTAAAGAAAATGTCTAATGCTTTTACATGATTTTTTATAGTTCTCATTATAAGCATAAGAACAAAAATTAGATGACTCTTCAAATATAGCTTAGTTACTGAAATATTACCTAGTTCTATATAGATATAATAAAAATACTTAATAACATGTGCTTTTACCTGGAATGTCTTCTTCATTAAAGGTGATGTTAACATAATGAGGAACCTTCTCCTGAGGCACAAAGGTGACATTATACAAACCCCGGCTTTTCATTGCAACTTCTGCTCGGACAGAAGACTTGCGTGTGGTGACGACAAGCTCAAGGGTTCCTTCCCCTGCCTGTGAAGCATCAACTAATAGGGAAAAAAATAATTTAAACTTTGTATATTGCAGAATTTTCATGAAATTGTTTACTTTTTAAGGAAGATCAAACACTGAAATACATTTGTTAAAACTTTATAATCTAAAATAGTATAATCACAACTTTTCACATTTTGTGTTTCCCAATTTTCCACATGATAAAGTTCAATAGTTCTGGTTACATATTTTTATTATTTCTATTAAACTACAATAACTATTTGTAATTATAACATTTATTAATGTACAAGAAAATTAATTTGCCAATCCTAGTACAGACCTTCCTCCCCCATTTCCCAAATATCACAAACTGATCCACAGAACAGCATATTACAAAGCTTGTTATTCTAAGAACTTAAGAATGATATGTAGAAAATAATGTATAATAATATGTCAACCACACTATCTGTTATATCTAGTGATGAAAAGATCTTTCACCAAATAACATGGATCATTAGGCCAGCTGGGATATGTAAGACATAATGATGGTTGAAATGTTATTATCAAGTTGCATGAGCAACAACTGTTACAGTACAAACTAGATTGTTGGTGAAGTGTAATTTTTATCAATTTTATATGAGTAAACCACAGCCAAAAAAACTTTTAGGCAGTAAGTTTAACCAAGTAACTAAATTTGAAAAGGTTTCTCACCCTAACTCAAAATAATGGGATACACACAGCATTACCTTGGAATGTTACAGGTTTTCCAACAGCTCCTGGAGAAATATTGGACACTTTCACCTTACTAACATCATAAACATTACTGGTGAATGGGCTTCCAGGAACAGAGATACCATCTAACATTACAGCCACTAGGTGAGGACCTGAAAAATTGGTAATATGCCAGAACATTCAGATTTATACCTAGTTCAAAAAGTACTTACACTATGTCACTGTTATTGCTTCAAATGTTGATTATCCCCAAATACCAACAGATAACTTTTCAACACATGGTAATATAGTAGGTTTTACAGGCACAGATTGAATCTTAACAGAAAATCCCTAATCAATTCAAGATTTATATTTGAAAATAAGCAAATATTCTGCCCAAGCTTTAAAAAAAACGAAATTGTTCTCTAAACAAATTACACATTTCATTTCTATGATAATTTGTAAACTTTAGTTTTTGATAATTTTTTATCTTTTTTTTTAGTCAAACTGAAATATCTATTATCATTTAAAGGCCAAAATCACATTATAAATTAAAAAGCTTTCAAAGAATTACACCAAATTTTAAGTATTTTTACCTGAACAAATTATACTTAATGATTGTCTCAGCCAAAAACTGTCAAAAAGAACTAGCCATAAAAAGGAAACTAAAGAGTCATTTAAACAATTAGTTGATTACAAAATGACAATCATTGAAAGACCTTGAACATGAATAATTTTTGTACATACCAACTTCTGTTGTAGAAAACTGTACATCATAGGTTGTATTTGATGTAGCTTTGATATCAACAGGAAGTTTCTTCGTTGAAGGAGCTAATGATAAACATCACAGTATTAAGTTTTCACTTAGTAACGTGGTAAAAAAAAAAATTACAACAACATAAAAGTCACAAAATATTCAGTTCATTTGTCACAGAAAAGTCACAACAAAGATTATGAAAGCAAAGGCTTAATCAGTAGGTGGAGAAATACAAAAGTGCTTCTTAAAGTACTTTGTTTTCCGTGTTATTTTACCTTGCTATATATATATATATATATATATATATATATAT